TATGTACAGTTGTTAAATCTTTGAAAAATTGCTGGCTTGTGGGAGCTAAATGGCTGGCTAGTAGGTGATCAATAAATCTTTACAGCCCTATCTAAGATAACAAGGACTTATAAGTTAATTATTGTTGACAGATGTTGTATTTAAATTCTTTTGAAACTAATATCAAAAATCTTTATGGGCTCAGTCTTCAGTAGTAGTAGTAGTTCTTCATTTGAATATTATACTTACAGAAAATGTTTACACTCTGTGCATTATTAATTTTTATACTAACTACCTTGTTCATTTGTCTCTACCTGTACTTTTAGTGTTTTAGTAATACCATGTTACTTGTAGGATATTTAGTATTTTCCAGGATATCCAAATGTTTTTCTTTAATTTTCTTTCATCATATCATTTTACACATGTTGTTCAAAATCCTCTTTTCCATTTTTTCCTGTGCATTGCACTTGTTTATGACATAAACAATCTTTACCATATGGTTTCAATTCAGTCTTTCATTTCTGCTTTAAAATTCTTAAGTTCAGATATGCTTAACAGATTGCTTTAACCTCATATTAAATTTATTTTCTTCATCATGTTTAGCATGAGCTTATCATAGCAGTTTAGATCTCAATTTATGTTCCATATCTTCTTAGCATTGCAGATTCCATATCTTGTACAATGTATTTTATATATTATGCATATTTATAAAATCTAAAGTGAAAGTACTCCAGTTTTGGGCTTTTATATTTCTTAAGTTTTTCTTGTAGATTTTTAAGACCTGGTTGCCAAAACTTACACGGACCTCTTATGTTCCACTCTTTCATTTGGCTTTTATTCTACAGGTAAAATACTTCATTACAAGTAATTATCAGTAATGTAAAACTTGCATATTTTTACAAGTGGGCCATGTCAAGATGGTTGTAAAAATCAAATACTTTTTGTTTTTATGTACTTTTAAACTTCTTCTTCTTGTTCATTCAAATATATTTTTTTGAAGCTTGTCTTTTTTTATAAGTTTTAATAAATTGATTTTTCAGTGTCATTTATATTAGATATTTTATTTTTGTTTATATGTAGTTTATATTAACATATTGTCTGTATGTTTGTGTAAATACATTGTTGTCTGCAGTTAGCTTGTCTTATTTAGACTCATAGTATACTATCAAAGATATAGTTGCATAACTGGTTGTCTTAATGTCAACATCACAAGTAAAATGTAAAAGAAAAATAATTTGTGTGTATATTACTAAACCATGTTAGAGTTATTGTAAATATGTTTGTTAGCATTTGTGATGTTTTTTTTTCTGCAAACAGTATTTGAACCTAAATTTCTATTATGCAAACTTTTTTTAAGACAAAAAACAAACTGTTAGTTAAAATTTAATATAAAGTAAACATAACCACTTGGTGGAGCAATTGAAAATTCAATGATTTGTAATGAATATGTATTTACCAGAAAATATTACAAAACATTGATAATTTATGCATTTAAATATCAGTTTTTCTTGGGTAAACTATATTGTTTTCTGCCAGAAAACTTAGTTAATATATTTTTGGAATTTCAATTCAAACTTTTTTGATCATCTTGAATGAGTAAAATTGTCTGACTAGCAAATTAAATTCACTGAGAATCTATCTGGCAATAAAGAACTTATTATGAACTTTATATATTATTTTGCCTGTTGTGGTGTCCCCATTGAATGAATCTATTGATGAACCAATTAGTTACGAGAAGCTTAAAGTGGAGGAATTTTGAAAGTGATTTTATTATGTCTAGTCAAGTACTGAATATTTTTGATGCAATCAGTTTTAGACAGTGGATAGTTGAATCTGTTGAAAATACTTAAATGCATGGGGATGTCAAAGGGTTGGAGTTATAGGAAATCTCTTGAGATGTACTCTTTTAAGTTTGCACATTATGTATAGGAACACTGACTCTTATAGTCTTGGGTCAATTGTAAAAAACAGCCCAGAAAATGAAATTAATTAGCAAATGTGGTGGGGCAACTTCTAAATTTGACCATAGTGCATTTGAAGTATGCTGATTTAGGAAATGAAATGTCTCTCAGTGTTTTACTTGCCTATTATTTTATACTATAGCCTTAACATTTTTGTATTCATACAATGTGCTGCAGCAAACAATATGAGGTAAAGCGTACTCAATAGTTAGGTTATTTTGTGGAAAAATCCTTAAAATGAGGTGTCATTAGACTCTGGGAGAACTTTTCATCTAACAGTGGTTATAGAATTAAAATTCATGAATGTATATGTTGTAGGGAAATATAATATTACAAGTTTATTCCACAGCCAAAATTTCACTCAACTGCACAAATAGTTGTTTTCCATGCAACAATCTATTGAGTTCAGTTAATATACAACACAGTATTAACCACCTGTTCACAGACTCAGTCACATTAACCAGCCAATATCTGTGAAGCTGTACATACTAATTTTTAGTGTAACTCTGAAATTACTAAGTTTATCTACATGAAATGTGGCAGGTTTTTAGTAAATATAAAAAAAAATTTATGCACAAATAAACCATATTTTTTTTAATAAAGCAATTTACTAACGTTTTGTCTGATAATTTTTGAACAACTACTGAGTCAGTCTGAATGAAATGTGATTTTCATGCTAAGAATAAAAATACATTTTTTTCATCTTATAGTTTTTATATTCAATTTGCATAACCTCTAGAACCGTCCAAGTAAATATCAAAAGTGTTTCAGTAAAACTTTGTATATTTTATTTTCTCAATCCTTACACTAAGTGTAGAGAAATCATCAATGTATAATAAAATAAAAAACTGAAAAATATGAAATAAGATGAGTAATACCATTTTCCCCTCTACACTGATTGCAGTATTGATGAGAAAGTTCCACATTACTTATCTTAACAGTTTCAACTGTTTACCTTTTCTTATCTGTTTTCTTCTAATTCTGTGTTTTTATTGTTGTACTTTGTATCCACCTACTGGAACAGCAATACTCCCATAAAAAGCAATAAATCACAGCATGAATCCTTTTGCTGGTTGCAGTTAGAATTCCTATAAACAGTATATGAAATATGAAACACTATGCTTAGATGGGAACTTGTGAAATTTTAAATGTTATGTTTTACTAGAGTTTTGTTTACCTAAGCTGAGACATTTCTAATTTTTACATTTTAATTTCTTTTGTTGAAAAATATATAACAATAAATAAAAATAGACATAAAAAATAAGGATTTATAGTACTTATTGCATGCTCAGTCTTGTTTTCAATCTAATAAAACTAAGCAGTTTTTCCTTAAGTCTGAGTCTCCAAAGTTTAAGTATCTGATAGAGAATTCATATAGCTTTCAAATGTGCATCTTAGAACTAATAATGAAAGTCTTCCGGATATATCCGGAAATCCGGATATTTCTAAAAAATCCTGAAACCTCCGGTTTTCTTCCGGAGAAACACATTTTTTAAAATTATCGGATTTTGGTGTTCCATGCCATAGATAAGCGTTTATGCAATCGCGTGGTTTGTTTACATTTGCCGAATGAGTTTGATTTTACAATAAATATATGTCTGATTTATTTTTAGCAATGTTTTAATAATGAATCTATT